ATTCCACATGCAAGTCATTTGAGTCAAATTTAGACCCAAATAATTGATTGACATGTGGCCCAAATAATTGATATTATCACTGAAATTGCACCATTCATAGGCCTACTTGAGTTTCTCCACCTGACATTGAGATTTAAAAGAACAAGTATTTGAGTACTTTTCCTGTTTAGTTCCGTTAGTCCCTTATTTTGCGTTCACACCAAAAATAATACTTAGTGCCGGGAACTTTTACCCCAATTTGTAGTGCCTGCTAGAGAGGTGCTACTATCCTGGGGAGAAAAAAGTACCAATTTCTATTGGCCGGGCGAATTGCAAACCACGGTGGCATTAGCATTATTAGCATTAGCCCCGCGCACCAACGGAGAGAGAATAACTTATGGCAACACAAACAAAAACATGGGAGCGGTGGAGATGAGGAGGTGTCGGCGTTCTGGTGATTTACTCTGAAGGCTTCAGTAGAAGCTGCTGGGAGTCCCAGCAGCTTCTACTGAAGCCAGTCCCCAACTCCGGGGACTTCCGGCTGGGGACTCCGGGTGGCAGTATACGCCGTGAAGTGGTTTGCGGCCTGCCAGTAAACCCAAAGCAGAAGAAGAAGAAGTGATGTCAGCGGCTCATTTGCGTAATCTTCCCTTAGGGAATTGATTCCGGTGTGAACGCGATTTTAGGTCCATGGGGGCACTAAGTACGGCAAAGTACTTGGTGTGAAAGCGGCTAATATGATATAAGGGACAATAATATAATTGTTTGTCCGATTGCAAGCGCAAATAGCAGAAATTGAGTCTTGTTTACTTCCACTACTGGACTAAATAAGGCAATGGAAAAAGAAAAACACTTTGCAAATAACATCTGAACATGAAATCTTGGTCCTTGTGATTCTCTAACTTTCAGTCGATCACCTAAGTATTTAAAGCGCAAGGAGATATAAAAAGACATGACAGGGGGACATTGGAAAAACACCCAGAAAATGATAGGGTCAGCGTGCAAAGTGAGACGAAGCTTTCTGTCTAAAGCGGCTGTTCTGTTCAAAGTGTCTTTTCTGAGCATTATCATATCCTGTTTATCTAACTGAATGCAGAAAGTGGATGCTACTGAGTAACCTCATCAAACTCATTCTGCAGCAGTCAGACAGAGGCACTTAATAAAGAAAGAGATATAGTGTATACGATATATAAAAAGAGCCCATGCTCCCAGCAGGAGAGTAAATGTTTGCACACAGTTCAGATGCAGGGCGACCCAAATAACAGCAACGATATTTTCAGAGTGTGTGAGTCATGCAATCCCAAAACAAAGCAGGGTGTGAAACGACTTCTTCAGGCGTCAGTAGGAGGAGCGCAGGATGTGAAGAAAGCAGCACATCTGCTCCGTCTCGCAGGCTGTGGATGTTCTCACATTCAGAAAAGCTGGCTGTGAGCTCTGCGTCTGACAGGTGGTGTGCAGAGGAACACCAAAACAAGACAGAAATCTCTATGCGACTCATTACAAAAAGATGGCGCCGGTGATGATGGCTGCCGTGTCTTTGGCTGCTCTCCAACTCAGCCTTTTTTTCGTATTATTTCAGTGTTTGTTTACATTTTGTCATTTTATTTGATTGCACAATTGTATCTGTTTTATTGTGTTGCACTGTTGGAGGAGCCTGTGACCTAAGATTGTCATCGTCATAACTGCACTGTAGCTATTAAAGTTACTTCAATTATATTTCAATAACTTAAAGGTCCCATGTCATGGCCATTTCTACTGATCATAATTCCATTGTTGAGGTCTACTAGAATAGATTTATATTGTGCAATTTTTCAAACTCACATTGGTTTCTCATCCAGCATCTCTGTAAACTACGTGTATTCACTCTCTGCCTTTAACGGCTCGTTGTAGCTCCAATAGCTCCAGCCCCCACCCTCCCTGTGAGCACAGTGTGCTCTGATTGGTCGGGACGTGTGAATCGCGCTAAACTCCGTGGAGGTGTTGTTACCTTGTTTAGCGATACACAGCGAAACACAGCCAAACTCATCCTGAGCACACACAAAGTCACAGCCGAAGTAAAAACAATAAGTGTGGCTTGATATTGAGTAAGAAAAAGGTTGATAAACGCTGTGAGAATGGGTCTGCAGAGAGAATGGGTCTGCAGAGAGAATGGGTCTGCAGAGAGAATTTCGCCGCGATCCCAACTGTCTGTTATCAGCCTGCAGGCAGGGAGGAGAGATCAGCTGAGCTGCCTGCACTGAGTGTGTGAGGAAGTCCGTGGATCGGTCAATTTGGACCAATCAGCGGGGGCTTAACGTAACGGCTCCACGGACGTAACGTAACGGCTCCACGGATTGGTCCATTTCGTTCCGGGTACGGTTGACATCATGATGTACCCGGAAGAATCAAATGGACAATGACGTATCTCCAATGAGGCGTTTTGGGGAGGTATTTTCGGTGTTAGAGTTTTACTCGCTACAGGGTGTACTTTGAGGGTTTTGACTCTGCACACCGTTTACATGCATAAAAACCTTCATAACACACAAGGGGACGGGTACTAACCGGAAAAGCATGACATGGGACCTTTAAGAAAAGTTGTTTTGAACCAGAATTTCTATTTAAATCAGGCTTCACGTGGTATGGATGCAATCTGCTGTATTATCAGTTGTTGTAACTCACATGTTTTTCTTAACGAGACTTGACACATTTTAAGATGACTTTTTGGGTTAAGCTACAGATAGACAGGAAAGAGGGAAAGATGGGCGAAGACATTAGTACATGTTACTTATTAGACGCTTTTATCCAAAGCGACTTACAATACTCAATACTGTGGGCAATCCCCACAGGAGCAATTTGGGGTGAAGTGTCTCAGGGACACAACGACATGCTGACTGCAGTGGGGTTTGAACCCGTGACCCCCTGATCCCAACATCAAGGCTCTATCCACTGCGCCACACGCCTCCCTAAGCATGAAGCAAATGGACTACGATGCCTGACACAATTCTGTAAACATAATGAATGCCTTAGAAGTAAACCATGAATGAAGAAGACATCCATTTATTGTCATGTTTTTATTGCTGCAACTTTAATCCAGAACAACATGCAAAAAACCTGGTACAACAGCCGAAATGTAACACAATGCCACTATGGAAAAGTGACTTAATGACTTAATGTGCTATAGGACAGGGGTTCCCAACCTTTTTTCCCAAGAGCCCCCCCAAATGACTCCTGTTGGAACAGCGGTAATTAAAGTTTAAAAGTCTCAAAAATGCTACAACTACTGTCACAAACTGGATGAATGTGAAGTATTGTGTTAAAGGAGGGATGAAAGCGTAATTAAGGAGCACTATTGGAGTGACTTTGATGGTTATTGGACTCAGGATTAATTCATTTGGATTCCCGCTGTATGAAGAAATTAAAGGACGGCGTAGAAGTGGAACCAATTCACAAAGGGATGAAACTGTTTAAAACACATGCTCAAAGTAAGCCGGATTTTGCCCGATGTGTTTATGTGGATTCAAAAGTCGTAAATAATCTACAAAATGGAGGAGAGCGATCTGATCGGAGCAACTGTGACAAATAATCCAACTGAAACCGGCATGGACAATGACTATGTTTTAAAAATGCGCTTATCCAGAAAAGCCCGGTTTGGACACTTTACGAGCAGAAGAAACATTTCTATAGAAATAATTATACATTTCTGTCTTGTTATGCCTTTAATACTAACTTGAATTTGTATTCAAATTAATTAATCAATTATTTTGTATATGTTATTGTAATGTAGAGACAAGGCTTTTAGCGACAATCATGTATTGCGTTACAATTATATGTAAAACATTATTTTTTTTAAAACCACTGCTGTAGGAGAACAAAAAAACGATTTGCACAAAGTCAAACCCATTTCTCGACGCCATACTGACTGGTTAGTTAATCCACTTTCCTTCCCAACTGCCCAACATACCGTCAGTATTAATTGAATCTGTCTGCGTGTGCACTCCTACATTCCCTCCAGGAGCAAAGAGGAAGTGTGTGTGTGTTTGTGTGTTGCTCTTGCTAATAGATTGCTCCTCTCTCTGGAGTCATTTCCAATTTAACTTGTCTCTGGGTTCAATGTCTTTCTCTGGAGTAAATTCATGTATTTATCTCGGGGCATGTTTACCCAGTCACCGTGTGGAGGACATTCTTAAGAGAAACTGATAAATGGACAAAGTTCGTCTTTTGTTATATTTAATACATTAATAAAGAAAGTCAATATACAATTGAAATCGATCTCAAATGCAGGAACAGAGCTACTTCGTCCTCAAAGGATAAAATGGCGTTGCACCCAGAACACAGCTTACACTGTATAGTAGAGAGAAAATAGTCAACTGGTCCCACCCTTAAATTATTTTAGGCATTATCTAAACATCCAAACCATTAAACCATAAATCCTTAACCATTTGCAAATCCACCTTTTGCCCTTCTTTTAAACACATATGATTAAAAATACTAAATAAAACGACTGAAAGGCAATCAGAGTATAAGACATCATCTATATATATTATGTACATAGAGCGTCATTCAACATGTCTGTGATGGATTGATAGTAACTGTTGGGAAAATACTGAATGTCCTCTTCCAACATGAGAGTCACCTGATAACAAAGGTATCCCAACTGTAGCTGTGAACATGACAGGATGTGTGATTACCTAGAAGAGCATCAGGACTGTTTGAGGCATATGATAGCTATGTGATTAACATGATGATTCAGCCTCTATGGAGAGAGACATCAAGCATGCTCATTTCTGACGTGGAGCTAATCTGAAGTAAACATTGAAGACTGCTTTCTATTCCTCCATCTTGTGACTGTGTAACTCCCTCTCTTGGATATCAGCATGTGAAGGACACTGTTCAGGAACTAGTTGATGCTCTGTATGTGATGACTCCTTCCATTCTGGAGAGGATCACAGATACATGGATCCTGAGATTGAAGCTGGTGACGAGTGAGATTTTTCTAACAGTAACACAATGTTTTTCTCTCCTCTTCTCCTCCCCTCTTGTAGTTTATAGCCTTTGCCTCGTTGTTCTTCATCCTGGTCTCCATCACCACCTTCTGCTTGGAGACTCACGAAGCGTTTAACACCATTATCAACAAGACAGATCCAATGAGGAACAGCAGCGCTCCGGACTCAGGCCCGCAGTACGAGATAGAAACTGACCCAGCCCTCACCTATGTGGAGGGCGTTTGCGTCTTCTGGTTCACCATCGAATTCCTCGTCCGCGTCACGTTCTGTCCGGTGAAGCTGGAGTTTATTAAAAGCGTCCTCAACATCATCGACTTTGTGGCCATCCTGCCTTTCTACTTAGAGGTTGGGTTGAGCGGCCTTTCTTCCAAAGCTGCCAAAGATGTGTTGGGTTTCCTCAGAGTGGTTCGCTTCGTTCGAATCCTTCGTATCTTCAAGCTAACGCGTCACTTTGTGGGTTTAAGAGTGCTCGGACACACTTTACGAGCGAGCACCAACGAATTCCTGCTGCTCATAATTTTCCTGGCGTTGGGAGTACTTATTTTCGCCACCATGATCTACTACGCCGAGCGAATTGGCGCAGATCCCAACGACCCAACGGGTAGCAACCACACAAAGTTCAAAAACATCCCAATTGGCTTTTGGTGGGCCGTGGTGACCATGACAACACTGGGTTATGGAGACATGTATCCAAAGACCTGGTCAGGCATGGTTGTTGGTGCGTTGTGTGCCTTGGCGGGCGTTCTGACGATAGCCATGCCCGTTCCTGTTATCGTGAATAACTTTGGGATGTACTACTCGCTGGCCATGGCCAAGCAGAAGCTTCCCAAGAAGAGGAAGAAGCACATTCCTCAGGCGGTGCAGGGGGGGTCGCCCATTTACTGCCAAGCTGAGCTCAACACCACCTGCAACAGCACTCAAAGTGACCTGTGCAACACCAAAGGAGGAAGGGGACTCGAACGCAACCGCTCAGGTAAGACTGAGACGTTTAGGTTATTACAAATAAGTGTTGTTTTATATCTCAGGTGAAATTTGTAGAGGAAATTCTTAAGAGAAACTGATAAATGATTCATGGACAAAGTTTGTCTTTTGTTATATTTAATAAAGTAAGTCAATATACAAGTGGAATTTATCTCAAATGCAGGAACAGAGCAACTTTTTTTTATGTGTGGTCAGAACTTGGTCTTATTCCACATGCATGTCATTTGAGTCACATGTAGACCCAAATAATTGATATTATCACTGAAATGGCACCATTCACACTGGAGTTGCTCCACCTGACATTCAGTTCCCGAGGTGGGAAGTAGTGGAGTACAAAAACGTTGTTACTGTACTTAAGTACATGTTTCTGGTATCAGTACTTTACTCCACTACTTGTTTTTCTGACGACTTTTTACTTTTACTTCTTACATGTTGAACCCAAATACCTGTACTTTCTACTTCTTACATGTTGAACACAAATACCTGTACTTTCTACTTCTTACATGTTGAACCCAAATACCTGTACTTTCTACTTCTTACATGTTGAACACAAATACCTGTACTTTCTACTTCTCACATGTTGAACCCAAATACCTGTACTTTCTACTTCTTACATGTTGAACACAAATACCTGTACTTTCTACTTCTTACATGTTGAACTCAAATACCTGTACTTTCTACTTCTTACATGTTGAACTCAAATACCTGTACTTTCTACTTCTTACATGTTGAACTCAAATACCTGTACTTTCTACTTCTTACATGTTGAACACAAATACCTGTACTTTCTACTTCTTACATGTTGAACCCAAATACCTGTACTTTCTACTTCTCTCATTTTCCAAACAGCTGGTTCCTTTAGTCTGAATGCGTGTTTGATGCGTGATCATTATTATTTAGAGTCATTGCGTGCCTATTGATTTGAACACGATCCGTGTATCCATCATTTCCTGGTCTTTGTCAGGGTTGGGGAAAATAGTGCAGTTAAAAAAATACAGAAAAAGGTTTGTTAACAAAAAGCGAGCTTTATTATAAAAAGCCGAAGGCATGGAAAAAACAAGAAACTAACAGAAACAAAACCGGGGAGCACGACAGACAGGAACAAACTTACAGACGGGAACAGGCAGGAGACACGGACAAGCATAGGTGACAGGGAAATGAAATGACGACGAACAGACATGGAGCACAGGGGAAGACAAGACTAAATACACAGAAGGGTAATCACAGGACAAGACACAGCTGGCAGGGCAGGCAGAAACACAAGGGCAACAGGTGAACACAATGAGGCACAATCAGACACAGGAGGGAAACTAACGACAGGAAGGCAAACACAGGGAGTAGGATCAGACAAGACACAAGGAGGAAAACAAAAATCCAAAACCATGACAGTCTTCTCTAAAGAAGAGGGACCAATGGAAACGTTGTCATGTTGCCGTTGTTCAGCATGGAAACATTCATTAGCTAACAATGACATTATTGTTCTATTAATATAAAGGGAGGTCAGGTACTCTTTAAAGCAGCTGCTAGTTATGGGTACTTTTTACTGAAGTACATTTCAAAGCCTCTTTACTTTTACTTGAGTAAAGAAGTTTAGTCAGTACTTCTACTTTTACCAGAGTATTTTTAAACACGAGTATCTGTACTTCTACTTGAGTAAAGGATGTGTGTACTTTTGCCATCTCTGTTGGGTTTTAAAAGAACAAGTATTTGAGTCAGGGAATTAAAATATAGACTGTATGTGTCAGTTCTGTCAGCAGACTGCAGTGACCTCACTCTGTCCCCGGAGGAGAGGGTCCCGATGAGGAGGTCCAGCACCCGAGAGCAGGACCTCAGCGGGGGGGGAACCTGCTTCCTGCTCGCTGCCAGTGACTACGCTGCAGACGGAGGGATGAGGAAGACAGGTAACTGCATGGAAGAATCGAAGGTCTTTTAATGTGATTGCATTGAACTGTACAGTAGGTACATATTTTTAATAGAGACAAGCACATGTTATTAAAACCATGGTTGATCAAAATGTAAAAGCGAGGTGAACATATAAAGTTGTTGAGATTTAGCTCAAGTTAAATGCAAAACAGTGTATATTGCACATAGGTGGAAAGGTCAGACTAAGAAAGGGAAGCCCTGTTGTTGAGTCATGCAACTTTCAAAAGCAGAAAAGGTCATGAAGTATAAACTGAGACACTATGTGGTCACTAAAAGCCCAGAGGTGGGAGTAAGTCCTACATGTGCAAGTCATGAGCAAGTCTCAAGTCTTGACCTACAAGTATCAAGCAAGTCCCAAGTCACTGTGGTGAGAGTCAAGCAAGTCAAGTCAAGTCATACGAAATTCTGATGAATAAGCCCAGTTTCCACATTTAAATCAGTTAAGACTGTGGTTATGAAAATGGATTCAACCCACACTATGATCTTCATTACATACACAGTTAATCATTTGAAATCTAATTCAGACCGATTACAATCATATTAGATTCATATTAACCCTAGAACTGCAGACAATATAGCTAGGACTCAAAAAGTCTGTTCAAAAAGGCAGAACTCCAGGTAAGAAAATCCTACACAGGGATGCAAACACAGGTATGGTGAAAAAAGAGAGAACTATTCGAAGCAGAAAAAAAGGCCTGTGCTATAATGCTTCAATTAACTGGCTATTCTTTATAATATACTCAGATCAATAGGAGACAGAGATGTTAAGTTATAAATCAAGGGTTTTTATTATTATTTACAACAGGGGTGGGGAACTTAACGTAAAGAGACGTTACGCTCGTGTTGTGTCCAAGGAACCTGTCATTGGCCAGGAAAAACAGGCACTCGCTTGTTTAATTATTTTGCGGTCTAGATTTCTTCTTCTTTTTTGAAGTGAGAAGTTGTCCGTCAGTCGGACGGACGGACGGACGGACGGACGGACGGACGGACCCCCCCCCCCCCCCAAAACGAAAACTCTTCGGTTCTCCACGAATTACACGAGGCACCCAAATCAGCGTTAAAAAAGCGGGAGGCGCCGAAAAGCGACTAATTTGCATTTGCCATTAGGCCTACACATATTTAATTTAAATTTCTGTTAACACTAGAACCGCCAACAGCGTCAGCGTCTACATAGATATAATTTTCAAATCATTTAATTTGTTCCTCTTCATAATTTCCTTATGAACTAAGTCGGACGATTTAAAACTCACTTAATTGGGTTAATTTAGAAATTGCTTCAGTTTATCATCATAACATAAAAGTTCAGATTCATTTTACAATAAATCAAAGCACTTCTACAAACATATAATTAAAACATTTAAACAAAATACTAAAAGTAGATGAACTACATTATTCAAAAGTTTACAGTAACTTCTGATAATAACACAGGGGAGATAAACGAGGTATCTCTTTTTCTCTCTCTCTCTCTCTCTCTCTCTCTCTCTCTCTCTCTCTCTCTCTCTCTCTCTCTCTCTCTCTCTCTCTCTCTCTCTCCCTCCCTCCCTTGGCGGTTCTAGTGTTCATTTACCGTTTTGTCTATTCTTTGCTTAATCGATTTGAAACCAAGTCTAACGTAGCTTAAACTTAACGTTAGCTTTCTAGCTAACACAACACATGCACGCACCTTTCTCTGTGGGGTTTTTTGTAGTGACGAATGAAGTTGGATGTTGTGGTGGTCGTGTCACTGATCTTTATGCTGCAGACCCTGCATATCGCTGTTCTCTTCTTATTACCGTCATCGACAAAATAATCCTTGAATCCAAACTTCACTATTTGTGGAGTAACGCTAGCTGCTGCCATGTTACCTGAGAGACTCCTGCCTTCTAGTGGGTTGCCAGGTTTGCGCGCACGGCGCTATAATCACGTTTTTCGAAAAAACTAAACGTAATATCTCACTACAAAAACAAACGCAAATATTTAATTTTAAACAGTCAAGTCCTTTCAAGTCATCTGTCTCAAGCTTAAGTAAAGTCTCAAGTCATGAATACCAAGTCAAAGTCAAGTCAAGTCTTTTATCAATGTTAGTCAAGCAAGTCTCAAGTAAAAAAATATGCGACTCGAGTCTGACTCGAGTCAAGTCATGTGACTCGAGTCCCCACCTCTAAAAGGCAATGTTTGGTAACCGCCTCTATAATATGTCACCACACTAAAATGATATTAAGAAGACTAAAGCATGTAATGTATTGTTGTGTTAATCTGCGCTGTGTAATGTGGAAGCGTTGGATCTAATAGCCTTTAAGCAGAAGTTAACGTCTGGCTGTTAGAGCTTTATTCTAAATTCTCAGAGTGCTACTGTTCTCTCGGGACATGCTTTCCTCCAATTAGAGCGCTGTCCAATCCAATCCACTTTATTTATATAGCACATATTAAAAACAGAGGGTTTACCAAAGTGCTTCACAGCAAACATAACATTATAATAAAATATAATATTACAAGAATAGATAAAAGGCACACAAAGGCTATGGACAGACAATAAAAGCATAACAATCGATACAACAGCTCAAACTGACTCGAAAGCGAGGGAAAAGAGGTGGGTCTTCAGGCGGGACATAAAAGTTTGAAGGGTGGGCGACAATTTGACATGGGGGGGCAGGTCGTTCCAGAGCCTGGGGGCTACCGCTGAGAAGGCTAACATGTAAATTAGTTTAAAGCTTAGTGAACATGTAATGAATTCAGAAGTCAAACATTATGAGAAGACAATAATGCATGCATCTTTGTGCAGATTAACACTTACTTGGGTTACTTTTATAAATGAACATAAAGAACAATATTCACATGAACTATAGATGTACCACAAAACTACGTACAGTACAATATGACAAAATACACATGAAAAAATTATAAAATGTGTTGTTACTGTGGGGGAAACTTCTGAAGCAATTGGAGAGTCAGGACTCAGAGAGGCACGAGGAGAGCTGGAGCTTTGATGGCAAACACTGACGGTTTATTTGGAGCTTCGGCCGGAGAATTCACAAGACAGGTGGTGTGTCACGAGCTGACACAGCGGCTGCTAAACCAATTCTGAAGAACTCTTCTGCAGCTCGAGGTTTTAACTAGTTCAGAGAGTAATAATCAACATTCTTCATCAGTGAGACTAAAGCAATATGGACCCTGAATCTAACAGCTCTCGTCCATAGGAAAGAATATGCGTCAGGAAACCTACGTCCCTGAACAGTAAACTACCTCATGGCGGCTTGTGCTCGGTCACAGACTGGCAACAACAATGCGCCCAAGCTGCCCCTCCTTAAGAGAGATAGCAGGCCGTAGACCTATGCCGTGGGAAAAGAGACAGTAAAGAGAGAAAACTATGAACTGGGTCGAAGGTTGAATACCTAGGCAAATTATTCCCTAACAGTTACGATAAGTGGAAAGCTGTTCAGATGTTACTTGTTGATTGTTTATCAGATTTTAATTGAGATTATAGCAGATAAACCACATGATGGAGGTTTTTCTCACAGGAAGGCCTCTCTCCAATAGTGTTTTTGGTTGTAGGCGTCCGCAGCTGTGCCATATTGAAGCTAATGAATAAAACGCGGGGTGCTTTTTAGTCCCTTTATCTACCTGTTGGCACACACACAGCTGCCCTTTGTTCTGAAACAAACGAATGGTGCCGTGTGCAAAATGCTAATGGGGTGGCCATGTTCCTCACGAGTGTTTCCATTTAATTAATGATCTGGCTGCTTGTTTATTCCAATAAGGGGGCTTCACATTCTGTCATTGCAGCCGGTGGAAAGTGTGAATCCATCATTAAAGTGTTAAAAAACAAAGGTATTATCTTCAGTATGTTATATTTGACACATAAAGTGCATTTTGATAGTCTTAATATACATTATTGTTATATACATTTGAACTAGATGCCTCAATGTGAATGTGATGTATAAGCAAAGTAAGATATACTAACTTCTTGTGAAAGAATATACTAACGATAATGCCATGAGATGAATAACTGCTAACTAACTAGTTTAAGAATAACATTAACTCCTATTTGACGAGTTTCCACACTTAATTCTGGACAGGGTTTTAATCACACAGGTATTGCTGCTATCTCTCTTAAGGAGGAGCAGCTTGGGCGCATTGTTGTTGCCAGTCTATGACAGAGCACAAGCCGCCATGAGGTAGTTTACTGTTCAGGGACGAAGGTTCCCTGACGCATATTATTTTCTATGGACGACAGCTCTATAGATTCAGGGTCCATAATGTTTAGTCTCACTGATGAAGAATGTTGATTATTACACTCCGAACTAGATAAAACCTCGAGCTACAGAAAGAGTTCTTCAGAATTGGTTTGGCAACCGCTGTGTCAACTCGTGACACACCACCTGTCTTGTAACTCCAAATAAACCGTCAGTGTTTGCCATCAAAGCTCCAGCTCTCCTCGTGTCTCTCTGAGTCCTGTTTCCAATTGCTTCAGAAGTTTCCCCCACAATTGCTTTCAACTAACCTAATTCAAAATACATCTAATTAAAGTCAACATTTCCGTTTTTTCACTGCTTACAGTAAAAGGGAAAACAGTAACTTTTAGAGTATCCTGATTACATATAACCATCTCCAATGTGCCGCACAGTTTCAGTCAGGATTGTGCGCTCTCACCCTGCAGTGACTTTTGCTCTGTCTCATAATAAAATACAATACAAAGGGGCTTTATTGGCATGACCACAGCCTCCCGGGTAGAACAAACAGGACTACGCACAGCTTCTTCCCTTCAGCAGTCAGACTGCTGACAATTAACCCCACGCTGTCCCATACTGCCTAGTTGTTGTCGTGTGCTGTGCTGAAGCGCAATTCTGTATTCACTGTATTTATTATTATCTGTGTATTTATTCCTATTTATACATTTCCCATCTATTTACCTTTATTTTTGTATCATTTATTTTGGTACATACTTCTGATAATTGTGTATGTAACCGACTGTTTTGCACTCTGTCTGGTTAGACCATCCTTAAATTTCGTTACACTGTGCTTGCATTTTTGTAATGACAATAAAGTAATCTAATCTAATCTAGTATTGCCAAAGCATTCCGCACAAGGCGTTATAACAGAACAAAACAAAAAATGTCAACAATACATGTGGCTCAACAGCATAACACAAAACATACTGTTCCTCGTACGTGTCAACCTAACTGGTAATAAACCTGTTTCTGATTATGAGTATCCTGATTACATATAACCATCTCCAATGTGCCTCACAGTTTCACTCAGGATTGTGCATGCTCTCAGTGATTGCTGCTCTGTCTCACAATACAATACAAAGGGGCTTTATTGGCATGACCACATTTTAAACATGCTTTGTCTCATTCTGTCTCCTGTCTTGTCTCGGTTTCGCTCGGCTTCTTTGGACTTGGATCGTTGCCTTGCTGCCTGCTCGCCTGCCTGCCTGTGTGTGTTGTTGTCCTCCACCTCCTCTCTGTCGCTCCTCCATCTGAAGGCTATGAGAAATCCCGGAGTTTAAACAACATTTCGAGCATGTCATCGAACACCCTGAGGTTTTCTCCCGTGACCTCGCCGTACGGATCGCCCTGCCCTCTGCGACGCTCTCGCTCCCCCATCCCCTCCATCCTCTGAGACCTCGTCCAACACACACACACACACACACACACACACGCACGCACACAACCTCCCTATGGTCTTACATCTGCACTTCTAAATAGGCAAAAAGTGCAGCTGAAATTAGTATAAAATAGCATTTAAAATCAGTCAAGCAAATAAATAATCATAAAACAAGCTCATGTAGAATAATACTGGTATAACATACTTGAATAAAAGTTACAGTGCAGTGTCAGAATAGTTTATACTAAATATTGTGGGGGGGAAAATCGACAAGAAATCACATTTTGGTAAGAAATGAACAAATATAGAAATGTGTGTTATTTAATAAAGTCAAAGCATTCAACAGAGTTTAATTTAATTAATTAAATGTATTATGTCAACTGATTTAGGTTAGTTGAAATCAACAATATTAAGTTTGAATAACAAATATTAGGTTCAACTTAATACTATTGCTTGAAATCTGTTGACATAAAACATTAAATTAAAGTCAACCTTTCAGTTTTTTCAGTGCATCCAAACACAAGTCATACAAACAATTTACATTACAGTCAATCAATCAATCAATCAACGTTTATTTATAGCCCAATATCATATGGACTTTAAAGTTCGAATGGTACAAAGGACAGAGAGGGAAATACATCACGCATGGTAATTACAAACCTAACATCCATGTGGTAAAACCCAAATTAGGAAGTTATGAAGACAAGTATAATTAAATTAGACTTATGATACATTTCCACAATGAAGATGATAGAGCATAAGTGCTTACATGTGTAGCTAAGACTATTATAGAAACTTTTCCCTGCAGATAGATGAGCTTTTCCTGGAGTTCCTTTAGCTCGATAATGTTTGACACTTGCAATAAAACACCTTGGCTTCAGAAGTAGCAGCCATAGATAAAAGGACACATGAATAATCAGGGATGTTGCTGTATTTAGGTGAAAAAGACGTGCTTCCAATAAAGAGGAAAGAGAGAGATATCATTTTAACCTCACATTACTTTATTTTCCGTGCTGGAGACAGAAGAGGACGTTCGTCTCGACTCACAATCTGTCTCTCACCTGCTCGTGTTATTGCATGGATCATCCTGTCACCATCCAACAACACGGTATGGGGAGAAGGAAGGGACACCGTGAGATTGAAAAACATATATATAGGAGGAGTTTTTAATTTAACGTTATTATGTTGGGCTTTCGGAAGAAGACTCGTGTCTCATTTTGCCATTTCCTTCATCTACAGTCCACCCAGGAGACTGAAAACACACAGAATACCAGCTGTGTGTGTTTCCATTTCCAATTCTCTCCATGTTTCTGTTTCCTCTGACTGGGTGCCACCAAAGCTGTGTGTGTCTCTGGTTGTTCACTCACAGATATCTGCAAAGAGGTTGTCTTTACTGGTTTCACACAAGCAGAGAGCAGCGTTCTGTCTTAACATCCTGGAGGAAATGACACCGCCATTTTGGACAGGTAACAGGTGTGAGGGATGCTGTGTGTGCAGAACACTTTGTTGGTCATGATTTGGTGTTAATGTGTGTTTAAACGGGGGTTATTCAATAATCCCTCAGAAGATATGTACCTGTTGTGTGGTTTCTCTTGAAGGTGCTGCTTGTAGCATTTGAATCAGTGGATGATTAACACATCATATTTTGTATAATTTTATTTTTTTAACAGGATGAGTGAGGGTAGAATTACATTACATTCAAGATTTCATGACACCAAGAAATTAATTGGCAACAACATTTGACTTAAATTAGATAGTAGTAATTAATACTTCATCCCCACAACATTTTTCAAAACAAACAAACACTGACCAAACCTCCCCTTCCCAAACTGATACACACACACACACACACACACACACACACACACACACACACACACACACACACACACACCATGTATACATCACTTCAGGGGACATTACATTGACTTACATGCATTTCCTGGAGACTTATCCTAACCTTAACCATAACCAACACATGCCTTACCCTTACCCTAACCCATAACCTTACCCTAACCCTAAACCTAACCAAGTCTTCACCCTAAAATTAATGATTCCCCTTATGAGGACCTCCATTATGTCCCCATAAGGGAGGCGAGTCCCCACACGTGACTGTGTAAACAGATGTAGGTCCCCACAAGGATAGTAATGCTAGGTCACACACACACACACACACACACACACACACACACACACACACACACACACACACACACACACACACACACACACACACACACACACACACACACACTCACACACACATACATACACGCACACTTGAAATGTTTAAGTGTTCCCCAATTTGTCCGGATTGTGGGTGTTCCTGTGGCTCATCTCCTCTACAGAGCCTCGTAAATTGTGATTAACACATAATATTGAGACACAATTATAATTAGAGTAAACAAAATGACACCATGAGAGATTTGCATCCTGAATTTTTTCGCATTTGCACACAATTTACACCCTAAGAGCAGATTTGTTTACTGCAAACACAACAACTGTTACATCATTTTCCTGCACAGTATACCATCACTAAGGGCTATTATCTGCTCTCAAACCACACAGACATTACCGTTTTGAAATCTCATGCACCAAAGACGCCTTTTTCTTTATTCATTCACAATATTTCACACATTTCTTCCTATGCACCAACAGGTGTAGAGCAGCCTCTCCCATCCCTTCAGTACTGAAACAGTAGCAGACGGTTGCCTAGAAACTGGCTCACAGCTAGATGCGTCTCACACATAACTCTGCAAAAAATCAAAGAATTAAAAAAGAAATAAAAAGTATTGAATCACCCCCGAGTTCTGATATAAGCTGTGCTATATTGACACGTTCAAGAGATGATGCATTTCTGATATTTAGAGATGAGACTTGTGTTTATATTTTTTAAATGTAGACGAATCATTCCCTATTTGAATGACGGAGGGATAAGTCTTCAGTCACGAGGACATCCTGCAGGACATTATGTGGACGAGGAGGCGCACAAAAACTCTTTCTGACTGACAGCTGTCGGCTCAACAGGAAGTTAAAGATCAAAAAGGAAATCCTGGGAGAACTTGGATTAGCATTTACGTTTTCTTTTACGTCTTGTTTTGTTTTCCTGTGGAGAGCGGACACGTCTTCAAAAGAGACTGTATAGATATCGCTCCTGTATATAAGACAACAAACGTCTTTCGATGGTAAAGATGTTTGCTAATTGACACTCAATCAAGTGTATTAAGATGTGAGGCACTTTGTGTGTACTTAAAAATGAAGTGTTGATATATGAACTTCTACATACAGTATATACGGTACACAGAGACAAAGTTGGATACATGTAACATCTCTGCTTCTGTTTTGGTCATTTCCAGCAGGTTTAAAGTGCTCTGCTGTGTGTAAATGTGTGTATGTGTGTGTGTGTGTATCCTAAAAACACCAGGGTAAGATCTGCAGTTTGATTGGTCGGAGTGGACCGTCACTCTTCCAGTTAGTTTGAGCACAAACACCAAGGAGACAGAGTTCTGTGATGCAGGCGCCGTTGTAGAAGTCCCCGAAGTCGTGCATATGTGCTGCAGATGTTTTGCAAAACCAAATGTATTCTTACTACTCGAAACTGCATAACTTTATTTTTTCAAAGTTGCCCCGTCGGAGCAAAAAGTGTAGCAGAAGTTTATAAAGCGGGACTTCTAGAATGGCTACATCTGCACAGTAGCAAAAATCCCAAACAATCAGATCAAGATTTGCAATAAAACCCAAAAAAAACAAAACGCCGATCCACACTGTGATTTCAGCAGCCCGTTTTAAACAAGAAGGCAAAAGTCAAGCTCTGACGGAAAGGACTGCAACGTTGATGTTTAGCTGTCAAAGTGTCACCCTTTTACCCACAATCCTCCTTGTTGTCATACTTGCCAACCCTCCCGATTTTCGCGGGAGACTCCCGATTTCATTGCCCTCTCCCGTTTTCCTCCCGGGGTCATATTTCTCCCGATTTCTGACAAAATTGGATTTACTCACGACTGCTTCCACTCAGACTTCAATACAGCTACACCATTGTTTGGTTTCCATGGTAGCGCGTCTCTTTAGTAGCGCGCGCAACTGAAAGTCTGAGAGGGTGATGAAGATCAGTCACAGAAAACAGAACAAGAATCGACAAAACTCCCCCCTGCTCACTCCTCAGGTCCAGCCCACACATATGCTCCATCAAGACAGTGCACTTACAACTAGCATACAAGCATACATACAGCATACATACAGCATGTTAAGCTAATAGCCTACAGCTCCGGTGATCCACTAGCCCCCCCCCCGGTGGTTTTTAAATGCTCCCGATTTCTGAGGTCTCAAGGTTGGCAAGTATGCTTGTTGTACACACGCTGCTTCACTCTGTTAATGGAAAAAAGCAGTGGTCGTTATTCGTGTCTTTTCGGGAAGATGTAGTGAAAGAAAAAAAAAAAGGTGTTTATTTTTTTGAATCCAGAACATGTATTTTTGTGTCTTCTTCACTGTTGCTCTTATTTGTAAAACAAAACAAAGTCATGGTAGTCTGATGCTTCCCATTGTGTCCTCGAACTGTCAGGGTTTTGATCCGATGTTTCGTACGTTTTACTGTGAGGAAAAACTCTAGTTTGAAGTCTGTATTCGTGGAGCCGTTCGTGCATGCTGAAAAAAAATGTCAAATTGTATTAAAAAAAAAAAAATGACATTCTGTATTTCACATTCAACCCAGAGTGAAGGTAAATGCTATGTGAGGGTTTCACATAAACTGTTTATCTTTTAACTGGTTGTTTCTGTCTTTGATTTGTCCTTTTCTCTGATGCACTGATTTCTGATTTACTTAAAAATACTCACAGCCGTTGACAAGATATTCCCATTTCTTGTTTACAATGCAATCATGTCAAGCCTTACAAAATAGTTACTTAACATCTCAAGTAGGCTTGTATGTGTTTTTGTTAATGTTTCAAAGGTCAAGGCTGACGTTTCAGGCATAATCTTGAGTTTCCTCAGAGGTTTTGGGCACTAATGGAATGAAATGTATCTCTCAAGTTCTCAGAGAGCCATGGTTAATTCAAAGTGTATTTAGGTAACATTGTACATGGTAGGTTAAGGGGCGGGACATCTCTAAGCGGTTGACCAATCACAACAGAGCCGGCCAGCTAACCAATCAGAGCAGACTGAGCTCTGGTTTCAGACAGAGGGTGAAAAGAGGTGCTGCAGCACAGGCAGTATGAGAAAAATAAAGAGCTTTTTGAACCTTAAAGCATGGAGACATGTAGAGACACTACATACTGATATACACCTGAACATCAGAGGGAGAGGACTCTTTAAAGTAGAGACACTACATACTGATATACACCTGAACATCAGCAGGAGAGGACTCTTTAAAGTAGAGACACTACATACTGATATACACCTGAACATCAGCAGGAGAGGACTCTTTAAAGTAGAGACACTACATACTGATATACACCTGAACATCAGCAGGAGAGGACTCTTTAAAGTAGAACACTACATACTGATATATACACCTGAACATCAGCAGGAGAGGACTCTTTAAAGTAGAGACACATACTGATATACACCTGAACATCAGCAGGAGAGCACTCTTTAAAGTAGAGACACTACATACTGATACACCTGAACATCAGCAGGAGAGGACTCTTTAAAGTAGAGACACTACATACTGATATACACCTGAACATCAGCAGGAGAGGACTCTTTAAAGTAGAGACACTATATACTGATATACACCTGAACATCAGCAGGAGAGGACTCTTTAAAGTAGAGACACTACATACTGATATACACCTGAATATCAGCAGGAGAGGACTCTTTAAAGTAGAGACACTACATACTGATATACACCTGAACATCAGCAGGAGAGGACTCTTTAAAGTAGAGACACTACATACTGATATACACCTGAACATCAGCAGGAGAGGACTCTTTAAAGTAGAGACACTACATACTGATATACACCTAAACATCAGCAGGAGAGGACTCTTTAAAGTAGAGACACTACATACTGATATACACCTGAACATCAGCAGGAGAGGACTCTTTAAAGTAGAGACAGTACATACTGATATACACCTGAACATCAGCAGGAGAGGACTCTTTAAAGTAGAGACACTACATACTGATATACACCTGAACATCAGCAGGAGAGGACTCTTTAAAGTAGAGACACTACATACTGATATACACCTGAACATCAGCAGGAGAGGACTCTTTAAAGTAGAGACACTACATACTGATATACACCTGAACATTAGAATAAAAGAGCCCCTTTAACCATATTTAAACTACTACACAATGACTGCTGACTTTGCATGTGATCTCCTTTCTGGGCTTTCTACCTACCAATAATGACATTCATTAAAATGTGCAGTATCTGCGATGGAGGTGGATGTTCTACTTAATCATCTACTTTAAATGTGCTTTAAACCCTTGTATCATGACAGCATCATTCCCTAGTGAGCATCAACAGAACCAGTCTCTGCCCAAAAACAAGCCAGCGTTTCTCAGCTGCTGCCCTCCACTCCCACTTCCTGTGTGACCTGTTCACTCCCACTTCCTGTTCACGCCCACTTCCTGTTCACTCTTCAACTCCCATCGAGCAAACCGAGCAAAGTGCTACATCTCTGACACATCCCAACTATCTTTACTCCCATCGCCATGGAAACAGCCACAGACGACGTGCCGAAGAGATGTAAACAGCCGACGAGGAGAGTGTGTTTCAGGACAGGACACACACACACACACACACACACACACACACACACACACACACACACACACACACACACACACACACACACACACACACACACACACAATGTCTCTAAATCTCTTCGACTTCTTCCCTCTCCTCCACCCACCCACCTTCCACCTCCTGCCTATAGGACACCAGCTGCTGAAAATCCAATGGCATCAGAGGCTGTTTTAAACATATTGGTTCTCATTCAGTGAGAGACAGAGAAACGTTTGTGTCGGTGTTTTTATCTCAGGGGTTAAAATAGTCTAACAAAACAAAAATAAGTATAATATGTGGGGGGCTACTGCGGAGCGCATAAAGCACTCTTCACGCTAACGAAGGATCTTCAGGGCCATGTTCAGGGCAGGGAAGGCTACGCAGTACGCAGGCTACTGTCCCGCAGCTGCTGCCTCTCTGTTGGACTCCGGTACTGCACATTACTCACGAGACGTTGTAAAAAAGAAATTAGTGGGGGGGCGAACGCACTAACCACTCTATTAAAAAAGGTCAAAGTATGTCGGAAAAAGTGGAAAAAGTCAAAGTAAATAGGTAATAGTATAGTATATCCCTCCTGGCTGGTCTACCTGCATGTGCCATCCGACCTCTGCAGCTCACCCAGAATGCAGCGGCTCGTCTGGTCTTCAACCTTCCTAAATGTTCCCACACCACTCCGCTCCTCCGCTCCCTTCACTGGCTTCCGGTAACTGCTAGAATCCACTTCAAGACACTGGTACTTGCGTACCATGCTGCGAATGGATCTGGCCCTTCCTACATCCAGGACATGGTTAAACCGTACACCCCAGCGCGTGCACTCCGCTCTGCATCAGCCAAACGACTCGCTGCACCCTCGCTGCGAAGGGGACCCAAGTTCCCATCAGCAAAAACACGTGGTTTGCTATCCTGGCTCCAAGATGGTGGAATGAGCTCCCCATTGACATCAGGACAGCAGATAGCTTACACATCTTCCGGCGCAGACTGAAAACTCATCTCTTTCGACTCCACTTCGAGCGATAGAACTATTAACAAAGCACTTATATACTAATAAAGGACTGGCTTATCTAAAGCCAGTTGAGCAGCACTTGAAATGTTTTGGCTCTATGAAACCTGATGTACTTATATGATTCTGTTTTCTTCAAGGTTGTGTCTTCCTGGTCGAATGTACTTATTGTAAGTCGCTTTGGATAAAAGCGTCAGCTAAATGCAATGTAATGTAATGTAATGTATATCGGCAAAAGTGAAAAAAATATCAGAAAAAAGACAAAGGATAGTATAAGCGATCAAATGTATTGTAACACATTGATGCCCCTTGTAGGTGTTTTTAAGAAGCTGCCAATGATCAGCCTCTGTATATTTATATTTATAAAGTTATTGTCTAATATATCAATCCTGAAGTTGAGCCATGTAATGAGGCTGAGTCAAGCGGCTCCGTTTACCAGCTTTATTCCTACTTCAAAACCCTTGAAATGACTCACACACTGACATGACACCCCTCATTGGCTGCCCACTAAGTGCTGGGAAAACCAAAGAGCTGCATTTACAAGTGTCATACAAATTAAATAACCAAAAATCTCGTGAAGATATTCCAGCTGCAACAGGAAGTGAGTCCACACATCGGTCCTTCAGCCATAATTTCGTCCACTTCACGGTGTTAGGATGTGGGATACTGACTCCTCCATAGCTCCATCCTTTGCTTAGCTGCAGGAAGAGGCATGGATGGAAGCTCTGCTATGCAAATGTAGCTATTTATTTGTAAAGGTTTTTGAAATTCCAACGGAAAGCTGACAATATGTGAGAAAAAGCGTACAAAAAAAGCCTTTGAAAGGTCCCATGTCATTTCTACTGATCATAACTCCATTGTTGAGGTCTACTAGAATAGATTTATATTGTATCTCACATTGGTTTCTAATACAGCATCTCTCTATAGTATGTGTATTCACTCTCTGTCCTAAACGGCTTGATGGAGCTCCTGCCCCCCCCTCCCTGTGAGCCCAGTGTGCTCTGATTGGTCGGGACGTTGCGAGGCTCGCTGCTCACTGAGCTGGCTTACTGGTGTGGTTTCCGGGTCGGCGATACAGCGCGAAACTCATCCTGAGCACACAAACACTCACAGCCGAAGTAAAAACAATAAGTGTGGCTTGATATTGAGTAAGAGAAAGGTTGATAAACGCTGTGAGAATGGGTCTGCGGAGAGCATTTCTCCGCCATCCCAAATCGTCTGTTGGAGCTATATATCTCTTTATATTATTTAATAGTTTAACATTTATTTCCTTGCTGTTTATAGTGTATAGTAAATATATAGTAAATGTATTCTTAGTTAGTGCCATAAGTTAAAGTAGTTTCTATGCTTTTATTTTGAAGGCATGTTTGGGCACTGGGTGATTAGAGCACCTGGTGTAATTGTATATATTGGAGACAGGTGGTGGTTGGAGCCAGAGCACTAGTATGCAAACGGTTTTTTACCAGGGTGTTTCAAGCCACACAAAGGAAAGCCATAGGAACGGCTTAAGGAAAAGAGGTATAGGAAACTTGTTCATTGTACTTTGTTATTGGAATAAACTGCACAAATGGAGGTTCTTGTCTGGACTTGGATGATCATTGCCCTGCGTAAGATCCGCTAACTAGTGCCTCAGCGGCTGTTTTAGTTCTATAGGATTTTGGCCGCGACATCGTCTATTACCAACCAGGGAGCTCTATGCAAGTCAATGGGGACTCCCTGTTAGTTGAAAATGTACGCTAAAGGTCCCCTCACTGCGTTTGATAGTGACGCCAAGGGATCCTGGTGTGTGAGGAGCTCCGGATTGGTCCATTTTGGTTCCGGGAAGAAAACAATGGAAAAAGAGGAATGTCCAACGAGGCGTTCTGGGGCAGCATAGACAGTCTTTTCTGTGTTAGAGTTGTACTCGCTACAGGGTGTACTTTGAGGGTTTGTGACTCTGCAGACCGTTTACATGCGGAACAACCTTCATAACACACAAGGGGACGGGTGATAACCGGAACAGCATGACATGGGACCTTTAAGGGTG